AAAAAATTCTCAAAATTTCAAAGTAAACGCGTTTTCCATTTTTATGTTTTCGGAAACAGTTTTTCAGAATGACAAAGAGAACGCATTTTCAAAAATTTCAAAACAGACACTCAAAACACAAAATACAAAACAAATTCAAAACTCAAAACACAAAATTGAAATACAAAGAGAACGGCCCTTAATTTTTTGGATAATGTATGGTTAAAAAAATATGAAAAAATTTTGAATTTACGTGTAAAATATTTTATTGTATAAATATATGGTTGTAAATGAGTAAAAGAATTAAAGAATTTTAAAATAATGGTTGTCAAAAATGAGCTTTTTGTGAGAATAAATTTTGTAATACTGATTTTTGGAGAATGTGTGTTATAAACTATGGAAGTGCTATTGATGTATGTGCAAAATTAATTTATTGAAATAATGTACGATTAAAAATGAATATGTAAAAAATAAAATATTTTTTTTTTAGAAGAATGGGACACAATCAAATGCGAAACCTATTTTTGTTTAAAGAAGAATCCTACTTTTGAATAAGAAGCCACGCTTTCGCAGAAGTGCATTTCTGCATCTGCTTAGAGCAAGTGTGAGCCAAATCCACAGCGACTGACTGAGAGCAGCCAAAAATGGCGGCCCAAATCTTCAGAACACTCACTGCCAAACCCCACGTCGCGTCCACCCTTCTACGCCGCACCGCCACCACCTCAGCCCAGTATGTAGCCTCCAGAGCCCGAGACCCCACCTTCGAAAAGCTCATGGAGAAATACAAGATCCTCCTCAAAGCGATCGCGATCCAGGACCTCATTCTCGCCTCAACCTCCAACCCACCCTCCGTTTCCCTCGACTTCCTCCATCGTCTCTCCCAGAAACTTCACCTTAACCGGGGCCCAGCCGCCTTCCTCCGCAAGTACCCCCACATTTTCCACATTTTTCCCAACCCCGAAAAACTCCAGCCTTTCTGCTCCCTCACTCCCGCTGCTCTACAAGTCATCCGTCAAGAGTCTGATGCTATTGAGGACTCACTGCCACTTGTCGTCACCAGATTGGTAAAGCTTCTCTCCATGTCAATGACCAAAAAGCTGCCTCTTCGAGCCGTTTTTAAGGTATGGAGAGAATTGGGCCTCCCCGATGACTTTGAGGACTCTGTTATTGCAAAAAATTCTGACCTCTTTTCGCTTGCTGATGGAAATGAGCCGAATACTCATGTTTTAAGGCTCAATTCTAGTGAAGTTCCAAAGGATTGTTTTGTTCCCACTGTCGAAAAATGGAGGGTTGAAGAATGTTGTAAAGAGGATTGTCGTGTGGATAGGACTGAATTGAAGTATAGTTTTAAACATGCGTTTCCACCAGGGATGCGTTTGACAAAGAATTTTAAGGCGAAAGTAAAGGAATGGCAGAACTTACCATATATTGGGCCATATGAGGAAATGGGTTTGGTGGAGACAAAGAGGAGTAAGAGTGGAATGATGAGAATGGAAAAGCGGGCAGTGGGGATTGTTCATGAGTTCTTGAGCTTGACTGTGGAGAAGATGGTGGAGGTAGAGAAGATTAGTCATTTTAGGAAATGGTTTGGAATTGATTTGAATATTAGGGATTTGTTTCTGGATCATCCCGGGATGTTCTATTTGTCGACCAAAGGGAAGAGGCACACGGTGTTTCTGAGGGAGGCATATGAGAGGGGATGCTTGGTTGAGCCAAATCCAGTTTATGAGGCTCGGAGGAAGCTTCTTTATCTTGTTGCTTTAGAGTGTCGTGGCTTGGACAGAGGCATTGATGAGTTGAAGATTGTGGAGAGTGACGAAAACAGAGTGAAAGAAGTGAAGAATGATTGAGCTAGTGAATTAGGTAAGTGACTCATTTGGGGTCTTTATTGAGTGAATGGTATGCTAAGTGATAATGGAGCGTCTAGGAGGATAAGAAGTGAAGGTCCTAAATAAGATGCCTCGAGGAGTACGGTCAAGGGGAACACATAATGCACAAATGAACCAGAAGTTGGGATATGCTCCTGTCCTCAGAGGTAACTACGTTATTGCTTACTTCCTTCTCTGGTCCCCTACTGTTTTAGCCAGTCGATCTATATGTTCTCTTTTTAAATTCATTTGCAAATTTTGTGATTGAGAAGTAGAAAAGAATGTAGAAGTTAGAAAATTTTCTCTAAACTAATTCACTTGTTTAGAATTGATACTAAAAGATTATTTTTGATATTGGCTCTAATTTCTTGACAGTAAATGTTTTTATGCTTTCTCGGTGAGCTAGGAGGATATGGCGCCTATTATTTGGTAAATTAGATAGGCTAATATTTTGTGGGAGATCTATACCATAATAAAGTATGCAATTGATTTTCCTATATGAAAAAAATTTATACTGAAATCTTATTTATTTGAAAGTTTGAGCTGGGAAGAAAGAGATACTTTCACAACCATCACCAGTATACCACATTTTGGGTCATTGTGCTAGATTGCTAATGAACTAGACTTGGTAACTATTGATGAGATTTCTGACTTCCCCACATCATCTTTAATTAAGGTGTGAGTTTTATTACTAAAAATTGATATTGTATTTTAACTAGTACTCAGGCTATTGGTTAATTTAGACAAGTTGTTAGAATTATTCCGGGTTCGGTTCTGGTGGAAGCCCTGTTCCATGATTAAGTGCAAAGTTGCAAGTGGTAACATATCTACTTAAAACAAAGCTGTAATCTTGCATAGTTTCTTTTTGCATAATTTCCATGTATCATTAATGGGTGTGTTTCTATCTTGGGTATGGTTGGCCTTTATAATTTACTCCATCTTAGACATGGTTGTTCTGAAACTGAAGAATTTCTTTTTACTCTTCTTGTTCTAGAGCTCTATCAATAGCATCATTATAAATAATATCATACTAATTGTTTGTATTGGGGGCAAAAAAGTTTTATAATCACCTTCTGTATAATCTGCTGCAAAAAGTCCTTAATAGAAAGAATTGGCACATCATATCTTATATAAAATTGAACATATTTTCCTTTGAGTAATGCTATGTAGATCCACTGGGATTGTAACCCCACATTAAGCATAAATGTGGACTTTCGAAAGATGATAGGAGCTTGCTAGAAAAATTCTCATGGTAGTCAAAAATCTGTTATGAGATGTGGAGAACATTCTTGATTTTAAGGTTAAAGATGACTTCCGGTAATTCAGAGGGACGAGGGACCCCAAAAGGCTTTTGCTGGTCTTAAGTATTCACGAATGGCAGGATTGGATCAGTTCAACTAGTATCAGGTATCATTATCAATTCTCCATGAGTTTGCTTATGACTGTAGTAAAGTCCTGCCCTGTCTATCCTATCTGGAAAGACAGCCACAGGTGGGTTGCCTGCAAGATGCTGAATAGTTCTCTTTAATTGTTGCAGTGTTGCATTGCTGATCAAGCTAGCCAGAGGAGAACAAGAAAAAACAAAAGAAAATTGTAATATCTTGCAAATTAGAACGGAAGAAGCTGTCTGCTCGTGGTCTTATTTGAAAACTTAATGAATTCCTAGTCGGAATTTCACGTGCTGCTAACTTGTTGAGGGAAGGGATCTAGCCCAGACCAATTTTATATATTTTGTAATGTTGTGGAATCTTTTCATTTGTTACCTTTTGGCAAGTTTATTGTCTTTTTTGTTTTGTTGTTTGCACACCTGCTATTTATTTACTCATTGGCTAGACATTAATCGTTCTATATAAAATGAAGGTTAGACTCGGTTGTTTTAATACTGAGCTAACATTCTGAGACAACCTGGCATTTCCCAAATTGGTATTTTATGCTCTCTTCTTCTGTGTGTAAACAGAACATACTTTATTGCAAAAGCTTTTGTTATTCACAAAATATCCCGTTTGTATTTTCTGCCTATGGTTCCTTCAAGTATGCCCCAATAGAAGGAAAGGAGTTGGCCTTACATTGTGCAGTGCATGATGGTAATTTTTTCTTACAAACTATTCTAAAGTGGCCTTGAATCGTCGAATTTTATGGATACATTGTTGGGCTCTCTCAAGGACTGCATCGATCTTTTTTGTATATCCATTAGAGCCGACCTTCTGAATCTTCGGCATAGCCGCTTCATCAGCATCCTCATTGCTCGTCAGCCTGTTTGCCTTTCTCTTTTTGCTGGTTGATGACTCTGTTTCAACCAGCAAAAACAACGTGATAATTGAAACTGGTACACGAATGTTTATATTTGTAGGATTTTATAAATAAAATGTGATAATTGAAACTGGGATTTCATTACATTTCCATTCTGAAAAATATATATATCAGATTAGTTTTTTTGAACATGAACAAAAAGAAAAAAAAAGAAAAAAAAAGAAAGAATAACAGTTCTGTAGTTGAACAAGGAACAGCTCTCTCTCTCTCTCTCTCTCTCTCTCAATAAATGGAGTCCTCTTACTACAGATAGTGAAGCAAATCAAATCATCATAAAAGACTTGAAAATCCATTCATAAAGTCGTCAATCCAAACCTTGTATATGTGAAGGAGAAGGAGGAAAGTACAAACCTTGAGTGAGAGCAGAGGAAGTAGTAGGCATAGGAGCAGTACTAGTATTACATAGAGGAGGGAAGTTGTGAGAGTCGAAACTAGAGATGAAAATCTTGAGCTCCGACTTTAAATAGTGAAAGCCATTGGGATGGTTAGTTTCCAAAATTTCCAGTTCCTCTTTTGCTCTTTCTATCACAGTTGACGTTGATAGCCATTCCATTTCGTTGCCCATCCCTTTCTCTCTCTCTTTCATCTAAATGCTCACAGACCAACAGTTGCCCATAAAAGCGCAAAACCTGGAAAGTTTTTCTCTACATTAAGAAGAACAAAGTTGTAGAGCTTTAATTACAGTGTGTAAATAATGTAATCAATGTAAGTGCTTATTTTTCGAAAAGTGATTTTTTTGAAAAATGATTTTTTCGAAGAGCGTGTAGTTGATTTTGGAATAAATTGCTCTGTCAAGTCTGAAGCGCAGTAAGTAAGGAATGGGGGCTTCATTGGATGTGACATATACTCCTTTTCTTTTACTTTTTGAACGGTCCGAGAAAAACAGTGTTACGGAATGTCTACCATTCTAGAAATCAAAAATGATACTTATATAGCCATTAGAGGCTGTAATTTTTACAGCCCTCTATAATTAGTGTGGGCTCCACTAATGACTGTTCTCTTCGTATTAAGGGGTTTTTCTCTTCGTATTTCAATTTTAAATTTTGAATTCATTTTCAGTTTTATATTTTGAGTGTTTATTTTGAAATTGCTGAAAATACATTCTTTTTGTCATTTTGAAAAACTGTTTCTCAAAACAGAAAACTGAAAAATGTGTTTATTTTGAAATTTTTAGAATCTTTTTTTATAATTTCAGTATCCTGAAAATGAAGCATGCCTCAGCATATTTCAAGGCATTCAACCGAGTGTATGAGATTGTTAATAGAAAGCTAGGCATTTTCTTCTCATATGTGGCTTATATAGAGTGGACACAAGTTTACTGGATCAAAATGGCCGATATCGGAGCGGAGCGCACCGAACGGCATCGGCCTTGTAGGTTTAATTTATTGTTAGCTTGCCAGGACGCTAAATAGGTTGGGGGTGTGGAGAGATAAGTCTTCTTGCAGCTTGAAGAGTTTTGGGTACTCTGCATATAAAAAATTCATTTTTATTGAATTGCGATTAAACGGAATCGAACTTGTGACATTCAGAAAACTCATGACTCTCCCGACTAAGCTATCCCACTGTTGGCAAAATGTGGCCGTTTTCCGCTTTTTGAAGTTTTGGCTTGATTTTAACTGAAAATAGTCAAAACAACTTTTTGGCGTTTTTCATTTTCTTTATAAATTTTAAACTCGTTTTTAAAAATTCATTTATGAAAATAGGAAAGTAAACGTATTTTCGGTGTTTTCAAAAATTGAAAAATGAAAATGGCCTGAAAACAGCAAATAGAACATACCCTAACATTTTTAGCTCTTAAAATCGAGAATGGAACTGTTCTGATTAGTCTATTCTAATTACATAATCAAATTTTGAATTATTTTTATTTAAATTATAAATTATATGAAATATTTATTCAAAATAATCAATGATTTTGTCACTAAAACGCAGCATTAATATAAAACAAAAATGTTTATACAATTACAACAATATAGTTTACATTGAACCATATAAGAATCGATCAATTGTGGTCGATCTGATTCCCCTTTTGCCTGCAAAACCTGCGTTTTATTTTTATACCTAATGAAAATTGGTTCATTCCACTTATGACGAAATCAAAGTCAAACAATCAATATTAATCACATCTTTTATAGGTCCCACATCTTTTCAACCACGCATTTCAAAAACTTCTATCACAATCCACTAAAAATCTAATTTTAATCCACACCAAACACTCTCTAAACAATCACACTAGGGCTATGTTTGGTATCAATTCTCATTTTCAACAGTAAATCAATTCTCATTTTCAACCACACATTTTTCAATAAAATAATATTTTCTATCACATCAATAATCTTATCTTCTTTTTCAACCACACATTTCCCATCATATCACTATTCAAAATCAATTCNACCACACATTTTTCAATAAAATAATATTTTCTATTACATCAATAATCTTATCTTCTTTTTCAACCACACATTTCCCATCATATCACTATTCAAAATCAATTCTTCCTCCAAAAAATCCCTACCAAACACATTCTAGATGTCCAGCATAATAAAATTTGTCTTAAAAAAAAGGGAAATTTTCGTGCATTTCATCTCATTTCGAAATTCCATAAAAAAATAGAAAAATGTTAGAATTACATCATATTATAATGTAATCCATTAAAGCTAACTTATTCGCTTAATATTTTAAATCAGCTAATCTTTTATTTATGTAAATGTTGTATTAGTAATAAGTTTAATTTACTAGATAAATATTAATATTTGAATTTAATACCGTAGTATTTTAATTATACTAAAAATTTTATTTTTAATTATATTGAAATTTTATTTTTATAGTTCCATTAGTAATTTTTAAAGCATATTAATCTTTTCTAATAATTTATTATTTTTAATATCACGGTTGATGTAAGTGTACTAATTTTTTATATTGGTACGGGTATTTTTGAATAATATTGTATCAGTGATCGGCCTACTTCGTATATGAATTATGTTAATAGTTTCTCTTATTTTCAAAGTAAGTATTGTCTTAAGGTGAAAATAAGTGGTATCTTTTACTTATAAGTAAAGAAAAAAGTAACATATTATGTTTGGGAATAAAAATTTAGTTTTAAGCTCATAGACAAATGTGATACTGATTTAATTACATTGTGTATACGAACCTTTAAAAATTCGAATTTGTAGAGGGAGACGAAAATTAGTTATTTCATAATTATGTATTGGAAAATAAGCCTACGCATATGTAGGCTTCTTTTTTACTATGTCCCAAATTATAAGTTACTTTTCTTAATTACAGTAAATTAACTTTTTAATATATCTTTATTTAATGTGTTTTTATTATGAACTACTCTTATCTTAACCATTATTACTAGGGGTGTAATAGAAAAAATGGAAGTAATTTTTAACTATATTAATTATATTATCTTAATCCTTGTGAAAATAGAAGTAATCCTATCTATTTTAATGAAATGAAAGGAGAGGTAAATTCATTCGATTAAAAAAAAAAGAAATTAAAAAATGTTATTTTGTGGAAACATGTTCCATGTTTCACTCTAACGAGGTTGATTTTGTCTGGGACTAAAATATTGCTTTCATTATTTTATTTGAAAGAATAGATTTTTATTTTTATTTTTAAGGGGAAAACTACAGATAAATAGTTTCTATAGTTCCTAAAATGAGTGTTTTTAGCCACGCGACATAATATAATTGTGGGCCCCAGTGCCGAATCAATACAAATATCTCCGTGGTGTGTGTCCTTTTTTTTTTTCTTTTCTTTGGGCAATGCAAAAGGTATATTTTCAACTTTGGATATTAACTAACGAATCATGCTATTCGTACATGGGAGTTTACACTCCCATTTACTCGGGCCCACCTACCCCCTCACAATAGGGGGGTACGATTATTTTATTCATCGTGGGCCCTCTCCTCCTGTGAGGGGAGTGTAAACGGGGGTGTAAATCCCCGTGTACGAATGATTTTACCCTTAACCTATTGAAGTTTGACAATGGTTGTTAATTTTAGGATCTTGAACATATTACTTGTGATATTAAAATCCAATTTATTTGTGAAATTTGATGGTAGCACAATGTGCATAAAAAGGATATTGAATAAATAATAGAATAGTGCTACTTGTACTTAACAGAGTTATATAATGATTTACATAAAGATAATGTGTCAAAATAAGAGTAAAGAAGTTTTTAATTATTATTTGGTTGAAAATATTCTGATCCAATCATACCTCACTACATTATGTGTACGTAAACAATCATTATGTACATGCGTTAATAATATACACTATACATGTTAATTAAATAAAAACAGGGACAATAGTACAAGAAATTTTCTCCAAGCAATAGAAATTAATGTGTGAATGCATGAAATAGAAATCAATTAAATCCCAAAAAGCAAGAGAACAATGAGAGAAGTCGTGCAAAAAATTGCACATGGACAATTTGCAAAGCTTTGGTCAATGCACGTATCTCAACTTATTATAGATTTCGTATGATGTTGACATGTTTCATATGTTTCTCTTTAATTTAAGTGAAGAATAATAATATGTTGGGAATTACAATAATTCTCTTTTTTAACCCACATGACTTTTGTTCATAAAAATAGGAGACGATAAAAATATAAAAGATTACGAAAAAATTACGGTCTATCAAACTTTGTCACTTGTACAGTCATAAAATATCACTCACTCAAATGCCAAATCCCCCAAACATAATAGGAAAAATAATAGTGGTAATTACATAAAATCAGGTCTAAAATTTTTTTATTCAAAAATTAGGTATTTTATTTTACATATCAAACCCTAAATTTACCCAAATACTAAACTAATCCATTTATCTCAACTCTCTCACAGTCTATCCATCTCTCCACTCTCTCACCATTTCTCTCCATCGCTCGTCGCCTCCACCGCCACGTCAATCTCTCCACCACGGCTTCTCCTCCCTTCTCCCTCCCCCTTCCTCACAGCGCTGCTGCGTTCACAGCAGCGTCGCGATGCTGGCAGCAACGCCTCAATGCTGTTGCCGTTCATAGCAGCGCCGCGACGCTGCTATGGGTGTGTGGGTTGAGTCGCGACTTTGTGATAGTTGCTGTGGGTGTGTGGTGGATCGGAGTTGAGAGAATTGGAGAGGCGACGGATCTATGAGCGTTGGTCGGATTTGTGTGAGTGCTTATTATTGGTGGCTAATATGTGTGTCTGACTGATGTGTGTCTGTGGCGGATCGGAGTTGAGGGAATCGGAGAGGTGACAGATCTGTGGGTGTCCAACGGATCCGTGTGAGTGGCTGTTGTTGGTGGTTTAAGCTGATCTGTGGTGGTTTGGGCGATGGTTGTTGTTTGTGTTATTGTTGGTGGATGGTTGTGGTGGCGGCGACGACGATAGCGGCAGCAGGGATACGACAATTTGGTGGATTTGTGACCAAGTATTGATGGTGGATTGAGATTGGGGGACGGATATCTGGGTGTATGTGACCAACTATACGATTCTCTGTGGCTAACTATTAAATTGTAACCTCAAAATTCGATAATTTGCGATCAACAAATTTGGAAATGTGATCTC